AAAAAAAAAAAAATTTTTTTTGGTGTATATCTTACTCTTTTGATTCAGCAGAAAAGAGCAAAATTAACCAAAAACTTAAGAGATCAATCAATGAAACAATTATTTAACGAATCGATCAATCATTAAGTCAAGAACAGTAGAAGAAGAAGAAGAAGAAGAAAAAAAATTGAGTTTTTTGATGTAATAAGTTTGCCGAATGTGACTGTTTAATTTTTAAACAAGAAAGTTCTTCTGCAAAATAAAAAAAAAAAAATTTTTTTTTTGGTTTTTTTTTTGATGGTAAGTTATTTATTTACTATTATAAGTGCTGTTTCTTTTGATGATTTATCTTGATCAAAACATTTATCTTATTTACTAATTGTATTGTTGCAGGAAATTGGTGCTATTGCCGAGCTGAAAGAGGTAGCATCAAGTCCAGACGAAGTGGCTGCAAAATTTGCTAGCGAAGCTTTGACAGTAATTGGCGAAGAAGTGCCATACAAATTATCTCAACAGGTTCCATGCTGGAGTACTGAAGATGTACAATATTGGGTGAAAAAGGTAACAGAAAAATTCTTTTTTCTTTCAAATTTTACTTAGGTATTAGAACATAGATTTAGCATAACTAAAAAGAATTGTTGTATAGAGAAATCGTCGTCTATTATTACTGCAGTGACAGTAATTATCATTAAGAGTATTTGTTGGGTGTCTGTGTGTGCGTGGATGTTTGTAGAAACCTATTATTGATACATACGATTTGTTCACTGATTCTGTTTGTTCTTCTAATTTTCTGATTCTTGTCATGTGGCTAGAAAATAACATTAGAAAATTTCTTTGGTTTTTTCACCATAACTATTATTTTCCTCTTTTATTCTCTGTATTTTGCCGTAACAAAATTATAAGGCAAAAAAAAAAAAAAAAAAGAAAAGCTTTTTTTCTTAAGACTTTTTTTTATCAACTTTATTTTTGGTGGCAGTGATTTTGCTGTTTCTTAAGTCTTTTTTTCTACATATCACCATGATTTGTTGGTAAGAACAAAAAGTGGAATAAGATATCAAAAACATTTTACAGCTTTTCATTCATTTTTTTTTCTTTTTCTTTGATCTTCCTAATGTTGTTTTGTACGGGGTGCTGGTGAAGGAAAAATGGAAATGTTCAACAATTCTGACTGTAAAGTGTCGGAATTAGATAGCAGAAAAATCATCAAGCAACTATCCTTAATAAATAAAATCATTTTTTTTTTAATTTTTTGCTTATAATGAGATAAAAAAGACAAATTTTTTTTTTGTTGCTTCGAAATTTAATGATTCTTTTTCGTCATCTAATTGGGTACTTTTTGTTAGTATCAAACAATTGACTGCCTTAGACAATTTGTTTAGCTATATCTAAGATAAACTGGGCACGAACTTTATTGGGCGGGCATATAACGGTAAAATAATTGGAAAATACGCGCTTTAAATCGGTAGTTGATGGGATATTTTGCAAAAATTTGATGACAAGGGAAATGTTTTAGCGATATATTAATTTTGAACTTTCTTTCTTTCTTGAAAAAGAAATGTTTATTTTATTTGAAAATGTGGAGTGGCTTTTTACGGTTCTCTTAGTACGGTTTTTTGGGAAATATTTACATAACTGTTTAGATGACTATAATTGAAGAATTAGTACATTCCTTTTTTTGTGCCTTCTTTCCTTTATTTTTCACTTTAAATTTATTTTGTTTTCTTTTACAAAAGAAAAACATTGTTACGTTCAAAATTTGGTCTACGTTAATTATTTGCTATATAATAAAAGTGGACAAAAGCAGGACTGCTTTATTTAGCGGTACTGTATGAGACGCTATACATTGTAATGGGTGGTGGTAATAATAAGCAAAACATAATGAAGACAGATTAAAATAAAGATAAAGTTAATTGAAGCATAGAGTTTAGTTATTTATTTATATTATTTTTATTACTTATTTCATATTTTTTTTGACAAAAAAAAAAAAATGGAGTAGATATTTAAATAAGATTTTATAATTAAATTATGATAAATTGCTTTCTTTTTTGTCAGTGTTTTCTATTATAAAAATTTATTCTTTAGGTGGGAGAATATTATTGTTTCTAATTTTCTTTGTTTTTTCTTTTACTTACATTTATGTCAAGAAGAAATTAAATTTAATTAATATAAAATAGAATAAGATGAAAAGGAATAAAAAACTTTTTTTTTTCAGATTTTGCGCTGCAAAATTTTGTTATTTAGTTGCAATGTTGAAATTTTTTTGTAAAAATTGATCTCAGCAATTATTCCTTTGAAAATGTAATCTTTTTCACTAATTGATTTTTTTTTCTTACTGTTTTTAAAATCTTTAAAGCATCTAATTATTACTGTAGTCATTAGAAGTCATCGTCTACAATATATACAGTTTACTGTGTCTTTCTTGTTCTTTCGACTTTGTTTGTGTGGGTTTTTGTAACCGAAGTGGATAGTGATTTTTTGTCAAAGCACAGTGTGAACACTGAGAGACGCAATGGTAGTGGGTAACCGGGATGAAGCTCAACGGTTTAAAGAACAAATATTAATATTCTTGTTGAACTTATGATATACGCAACAACTGAATATTGGTTTCTATTTGCTTTTGATTTTTTTTTTCTTCGTTAGATATTTGCGTATGTTAACATCTCTTTTTACAGTAATGAGCGCTGTATAAATTGACGTATTTGAAAAGAAAAAATTGAACATAATGAGCAGCTGCAATAAAATTTAGAAAAAAGAAAATTTGGATAGCAAAAAAAAAATGAGGAAGGTCAAAAAAAACCAGAAATTTACGTTTTTTTGGATGTTTTATAAACACGATCTGACTGACAAGTTGCTTTATATTTTAACCAACTTTGCTTTCTTTTTTCTTTTTTTGCTTTCGTTTCCT